ACTCTTCTATATCCCAGACAAAAACAGAGTTAAACAGTGCCTTTAGGGTGTTTTGGTATTATATCTGCTGGTGGTGTTTGGGAAGGGATCACGGTGTGCTATAACAACATCAGGTTGTGAGGAAAGCTTTGGTAGCTTCAATGTGAGTTACAGTAAGAAGCCTGAACCTTAATAAGATAAAGGCTTTTAAGCTTGCTGCCACTCATGACTGTCTGGGATTATTTATTTAATTTATATCCTTTCATGTTTAGATAGAAAGTGCAATTATGAAGCAATTTAATCAATATTTTGTTGAGAAGCTATATGAAAACGTTAGGGGTTCATGAGATGCATGGTTAAGAAGAACAAAACAAATAACTTAAATTTGATTTCATAAATTTAAATTCTTATTTCTAGGTGTTTGATGAGATTTCGTGCCACGAGATCTTGAGATTTTAAAACATGGCGATATTTCTTGTTGAGGTGAAAAGCTGTCTCATGATATCAGCATGATGGAGCGTGAGGGTGAAACTAGCCCACGCCACTATTAAATCGTTTGTGTGTGGCAGCATTTTTGGTACCTGTTGGAAACAATAAATGACAACAGACTGAAAGACAAGATTTGAACAACATGTAAGCAACATTTTAAAATACACCAGCATTGTTTTGCATTTTGTAACTTTCAGTTCAGTTTGACTATTTTTCCAGTCATCATTTAAGATTTATTAAAAATAGTGTTAAAATATTGTGTCATGGTTCTCGTGAATCCAATATCGTGTATCCTCTGGTCTTGTGACCTAAGTGTATCGTCACCAGAGACAGTGACTCGAGTTTGAGACTCGGACTCGAGTTACACTTAAGTCGCACACACGGTGACTTCAAACTTGACTTGAGACTCGTCCTCAAAGGACTTAAGACTTGACTAGGACTCGAGGTACGGGACTCGTGAACAATGCATGCTGTTATTCCCCTCTCCGCGTTACCTATAACCTACCTACGTAACATACTATGTATCTGCTGCGCACGGCCAGTGTTGGGCAAGTTACTCAGAAATTGTAACATATTACTAGTTACTTATCCCTAAAAAAGTAATAATATTAGTTATTATTTATTATTTACTAGTTACGTTACTCATGACGTTATTATATTACTTTCACGACCAACCCCCGCCCACTCAACAAAGCAGTGTCTCCCAACTTTTTAATCATATTCAAAACAGCAGAGAGGAGTGTTTCTTAATGCCACCCGCTGAAATAAAAAATAAAGCAAGTAAATCCTGACTTTTGAACTACTGTTTTTCATGTAGCCTATTTATAAGAGCAGTTTTCAGTGTTTTTACAAAACATTATGGTACTTAACGCCACTCTCTCCTGACGAGTCCAAACAACAATGGCAGTAGTGGCCGGAGTTTCTTTCTATAAGTTTCACGATGCTGTTCTGTTTTAGTAGATGCTTCACTAAATTAAATGTAGAATTGTTTGTAGTTGCTGGTCGCACAAAGTTTACAATGGACGACAATGTAGTAACGCAGCGTTACTTGGTTTAATAACTGGAATAATATTACTGTTTTGGATAAGTAATCAGTTACACTACAAGTTACTGGTTTGTTATGTAAAGATGAATGAGCGTTTGTTTACTTGCCAAAGTTGTGGTAGTCGATTAACATAATCATTTACGTCCTGCTAGCTGCCATCACGTTAATTATTGATACTGACTAGCTGCAAACAGGTTACAGGTTTATTGTTGATCATGCGACGTTACAGTTTTATTTAGTTAACGTTACACTGGGTTTAAAAGTCTGGCGATGTGTTGACTTACAGTAGTTAATAAGCTGTCATTAATTGCATTGCACATTACATGGTTGTGCTCTGTAAGTTGAAAAACAGGTTATATTTACAGAATCCCTTATAGCTTTGTAGTGTTCTAGCCTGGATTGAACGTAGCAGGTGATACAACATTCATTATAACAACGGATGACTTGAGACTTGACTTGGACTCTAGCTCAGAGACTTGTGAGCATCTCTGGTCACCCCTATTTATTTCCAGTCTGTTTAGAGGTCAAAATTTGTGACTTCATGACTTCTGATGCTTCACGTTTGGGGAAAAAACTGATGATTGATACTGAATTAATTAATCAATTCATCAAAAATAATTGATATTTGATTCCCAAGACAGCTTGGTTAAAAAAAAATTATGTTTTTATTTCACTCAGTATCATACCTTAAAGGGTGTAGGCCTTTCACCAGATGTTATGTCACAGCTCTCTGACATTAATTAACCCTGTCCTCATTTTTTTCTTTTAGCTGTGAGGGGAAATGGCGTTTGGCTGTGCTACAACTACTGAAGCCATAGAAGTTAAAATAAAAACAAAAGAGTGAAAATAATATAAATTCTACTTTATCATTCAGGAAATATCAACTAAGTAAGTCGCAGATTATTCTGACGTGTTACTGAATACAGCGTAACACCAGCAGTAGGATGAGGCAGAGAGCTCCTCATTCTCAAGTTATGAAAACTGTCAGTTTTTACTTACTAATCCTAACCCTAATGTGATGGACATTAAATACATTTTAAAGCAAGACACTTGTTGAAGGTAAAGCTCAAAGGGGACTGTGCTTATGCTGTAGCAGCTCCTAAACTGTGGAAAAATCTACCTCTGCCCATTAGACAGGCTTCTTCACTGTCTGTTTTTAAGTCTCTTCTTAAAACCCACCTCTTTTCCTTTTTTGAATGTATTTATTTTATTGTTTTATGCATCATGTGAGCTATGTATTTAGTGTCTTTTGTTTATTTTTCTGTACAGCACTTTGTGTCCACTTTGGTGTTTAAAGTGCTCTATAATTAAGTTTGATTGATTGATTGATTGGTGAGTATCCTTTGGTGATGCTGGTGACAACGATGTGTTTGTGCCTACATATACAGATTGCAGATGCCAGAAAATCTAAGTGTGATTGTAAATTAAAGATTTGATAAGGGATCAGTAGGCCAAATCCTGGTATTTTAACAACTTGGAACCAGACCCAAAATGGAACCGGCTATTACCCATCCCTACTTGCTAAACAGCCATTTGCATTTCAGTAGCAGCTTATCCCTGCATAGCTTTTTCTCTCTCTAACAATTCAGAGATGCAACATTTGGTCACATCAAACACAGAATTCTCCCTTTCTCTCAGGTGCTTTATTTAACATTCGCTTCTTGTGCTTCCATTGTTAAGTGGAGCAATCATTGTCAGCAAAGCATATCCCCTTGTTTACAAGAGCAATATTGTTTCCCCTCATGGACGACTAGGGCTGGGGTATTGATCCAGGCCACAGGACTGTCAAAATTCAGCCCAATTTTATATTGTATTGAAACAAATTGTTCCTGGTGGGCACCCTCACAGAGCACAGCATTATCTCACCCATCCTGCAGCCGTGCATTCCCAGCTGTGTGCTTTACCAGAATTATCACACCTCTGCGCACTATTGTTCACACACTAAGCTCCCGCACAGGGACATTTAACAGTCCAGGCTTTGTGAGTGACATTTTAACAAGAAGTCATAAAACATGTCACAGGAGAGAGGAAAGAAGACAAATGCCAGAATCCCTGAATCCACTCACAAAGAAAAGCAAACGACCCCTGCGGCTATCCTGATCACACACAATCATGTCAATACCGCTCAGTACACACACACACACACACACACACACACACACACACACACACACGCAGGCACTCAGGCACATGCGCTTTGTAACCATGTAAATCTGCACACATCCAGAGCAGAGACACATCCATAAACACACACACACAGCCTGCCAGGAAGGGCCACCGGGGTCCAGTCATGGCAGGAGCCAGTAGAAAACTGATAAGGCTGGCTGGATTTGTTTAATTCAGCCTTCTCCCAAAGCTGCTACTGCTGGAGGGGGAGGAAAAAAATATGACTGCACTGTGGGAACAGGTGATGGGAGGCAGGGGAACCAAGTGAATCGCAGAGACGAACATAACCACTGACAGGATTAACACTCGGCTCGACATAACGTAACAGTTGTACAATTTTGTATCATACGTTTCCAACAATGCTTTTTGATAAATTCAAGGCAGGAATCATTGCTTCTTAAATCATCTGAAGTACTTTGAATCCTAAGCGACAACATGGCAATCGGCAATGATGGCAATGATCAGAATGCAATTTCCTCACACTCGGGCTGACATGAGGCACAGGGTATCCTGTTGTATCTCTCCTCCTATTAGCCTCACCGCTCTGGCGCTTCATCAAAGTGTCATGATGCACGTTGATCAAACCCAGCAAGAGCGAGGAGGGGAAAAAAGTGACATAAGCATGTGCGAACAGAAGCAGACAGAGATGCAAATAGTAAACAGGCACGTACACACAAAGCAGTGACCTGACCTAACATTTTACACCATGCAGCCGATTACATCTCTTCACCTCTGCCAGACAGGTGGAGTATGAAGCATAAAGCTTTAGTTCAGTTGTTGTTCAATAATTGATAAAAGCTGTGGAAAGGACAAGTCAATTTCTCACCAGGGTTCAGACAGCAATATAATGGGCAGAGGTGTGTAAGACAGAGGCGGAAAGTGCAGCTGCAGACATCCACTCTAATCAAATATTAACATGGTGCTTCATAAATGATAGAGAAGAGTATGATATACTCGGGAAAGGCTGCCAAAAAAAAGAGAAGTAGTTTTATATCAGCATGTATTATTCAAAAGTAAATACACACTGTTAGTCAAAGATTACCAGTTGAGATGTTACAACAGTATTAATGACTGATTAACAAATAATAAAAGCCACTGCTGCATCTGTCTCATCTGCATCTGAGAGCGATGCGCCGTGTGTCTCACCCTCTCACATCCCACAACAAACTGACAACCTGCAACCTGCTTCAGAGCACCTCAGCAGCAGTGATATCAAACCAGAGAAATCAATCATCAAAAGCGAACAAAGAAGACAAAAAAGACGCACAAGGCATCCGATTTGACCCACTGATTCAATCTGCTGTGACAGCTATGTACTCACCAGTGTCTCTCACTTTTCCTTTCTTGATCTCTCACTCTCCTCTCTCTCTCACTTCTCCCTTCCTGTTTCTCTTTTTCTCTCTGTGTCTCTTTTTCCCCCACCCTTACGCTCTCCTCCCGATCCTCTCCCTTGCTTGCTCCTGAACAGAATGAGCCTCCACCGCACTCAGGAACCCTGTTTCTATGGCAGTGTGAGCAAGCAAGCAAGTCAGCAGGATACTGTAGTGCAAATGTCTAGGGGCAGGTCCCTCACTCAGCCCAGCGAACAGTCAAACAAGCTCAATAGCCTCTCACTTCAATCTTGTTGTGCTAAAACACCGCAAGCCACTTCAACTTCTGTTGCGGAAAGCATTGTTGAGACTAAACATGCCGTGAAAGGGCAAGGAAAAGAGAAACCTACTAAGGAAATATTTCTTGGCTCTCTAAAAACACAGGCAATGCAGCAAAAGAAGCATGCATAAGTTTGGGAGCATGAATAACCATGAAGGCATCCTCATAAATATCAAAGCTTTTCTTTGAATAGATGTCCAGATAACACATTCAAAGAGTTGTTTTTATTTTTTATTTTTTATTTTTACATAGAATGAGATTAGGCAAATGCGTCATGAGGGATCAAAAGGGATCCTTTTTTGATGAGCAACACATACAAGCCTTGGCTTTGTTCTGTGTCAAGAGAGAGCGCCGTAAGCTGCTGTGATGGAACACATGTACCTCCATGTACTGCATCAAGAGGCATACACCATTTATTTAATAAGCATGGGAAAAATTGCACCTCACACTGCAGTTCTGGCCGTGGTCATGCGACATTGCAGCACAATCAGTACAATCTTCAACAGAGAGAGAGTGAGAGAAGGAGGGGTGGTGGGAGAAAGTGCAAACCCCCCAGTCTTCCCTCTATCTAGAAAATAGGATCAGTTCTTCAACAGGCTGTAGTCTGCACAGGAGCGCCTTGAAATCAATTGGATTCGCTACACTGACAAGATAAATAGAAATTAATTGCATTTGAAGCGCAGCACACATGTATGAAATGGTGCAGTTTGCAAGCGTTCAGAATTGTAAAAGTGTGGTCTGGATTAAAGCACAGCACAGGGGAAAGGGTTTCTAACTTACAGTAGCTAATGCATTATGTATTACTCCGACATACTCCTGCAGAATCTTTTAAAACTCTGATATGTTGGTTGTCCTTGATTCATAGAAAACTCAGACGTTTTCAAGACAGTTCTCCCAAGAAGACCGATAGGATCAGTAGCTTCACGGAAATGTACCAAAACGAAATATGTTTACGTTCAAGTAACAAAGCCATGTAGCGGCAGAAGTAATTATGTTGAGGTAAAGGAGGAAGTCCGATGTTATAATTGTGCGATAAAGTCACACATGGGGAGGAGGTCAAGGTGGATGGATGGGTCAACAATACATCAAAACAGGAGTGTGTTTCTGGTTTCCATAAACTTAACCAAGTCGACCATATTGTTGTCAGATGATAAAACAGATTTATATTTTTGGAAGACTCAGACAAATGATGAGGAACTGTTCACATGGATATTTCTGATCTGTGGAATGAGTGAATAACTGGTGTTGATGAAATGACTCCTTGGTGTCAGAGATTAATTATAGTAAAAACCTGCATTAGTAAACAGTTTTGTCGGGGTATGGCTATGTGATACAAACACTCGATCAAGTTAGGGATTTCATCACCAACCGCTTCAACACACTGCACATCCTGCTAAGAAGATTAATGTGATTTTGACTTACAGCACAGCATTTTCATTTCTTTAACAATTGAAATCAAGTCAAGCAAGTGTAAGATGAACAACCCAAAATCTAAGAGGCAGATGCACCCATAATCCAGTGGTCCTCTGGTTGAATCACATCAATCAGTTTTGCTGTGATGTAGCAGCATACACAACAATATCCTTTAAACATTTACAATGCATGACAGATTGATTTATAAGAAGCGAACAGCATGACAATCAGCTGACAGCAGCTGGACAGGCCCTTGATGGGGCATTGATGGGTGTAAGCGGAGGGATAGTGATGCTTCAGCTAAAGGTAAACTGCTGAGGAGTGTTAGCCAAATAATAATAAATGCCAGCATGTAGCTGAGCACAATATGCATGAGATGAAAAAAAAAAAGCTGCTACCCCATATAATTTATCTTGTGACATCTCAGACATAAGCTGCCTAATTCTGACTAAACGTGGACAGATGGTGCATTTTGACAGCAAGGTTTGGAGCACAGTATTGAAAGGTCAAACTTACTTTAAACCATCCAATACTATAATAATAACAACATTAATCTGGCAAACTACAGCTGGATATTTAAAATTTATACTTAAAGCATGACTAATTTAAATTTTTGACCACTTTGTTAGTAGCAGAAAAACCTATAAACACAACATTTACAAATTATGACCATAGATCAAGTTGTTACCTATTTACACGCCAAGCAGATACTTACAACACTAGCATTCATTTTGAGTCACTTTTCTGGCCACCTGACAAAATTTTCACCAACTTCTAATGGGGAAATATCGGCTCCGCTACATGTGGAGCCACTCATGTACAGTGGGTTTATTAAAGCCTTTTCGCTGAAGACAGCTTCAAATGGCTGTGACTGGAAAAGATATTCATGAGAGATGAATCAAAAACAATTAGCTGAAAGACACTAAAATGCAAAATAGAGCTGAGGGGAACTGCATTAATTAACATTTACATAGTAGAGGGCCAAACAATTTTCTTTGCTGACCTCTCAGCATCAAGGTTGCTACAAAATTGTATTTAGCACACTTTTAGGTGCGAAAGGTCTGAGTTTGGTTTTGGTCCCACCATTGCAAGTCTGCTTTTATATGCTCCAAGAGGTGGATATAACCAGTGGCAGGTAAATGCAAAGGACTACAGCAGAATCTGCCCCAGGGGACTGCAAGAAATTGTCTTAGGCAAACATGAAATGAGAGAGGGAGTTCCCCATCCGGCCAGAGTAATAAGGGTCATGGCATGACTCTCATTACTCTGGCCTAAAGCAAAGTACTGACTCCTGAAACCTGAAGCCACATTAGTGCTCGATTCATTCTTGTCGTGAGATTGAGCCTCGTCATCTCCCCTGAGCACTTATGCAATTCTTGAATGTGGTCATTTAGTTGAGGCATTTGTTAACGACAACACCTGGAGAAAGCATGTAAGGTTAACCAATAGAAGAGTGTGAGGAGGTATGCACATCCTCCTCTTCCTTCTCCTCACATAACTGATTGCAAGAGTGGGCTGCAGGCAGTGAACTTTGCTCTTAATTGATGATGATGTTGAAGGTGGCAACACGGGCTGTCTCAGGAGTAGCTAGAGCACCACCTTGGTGAGCAGAAATGTAATGTATTCTTTGTCTAGGCTAGGTTTTCAGAGAAAAAAGGTCTCCATGGTGCCATTTAACATGCTTCAACTACAGGCAAAGTCATAACAAGGTAAAAATAGCTAAAAAAAACCCAGCAGCAACCAAAAACACAATAGGTGGTGCCCATACCTAAGGAAACTTGGTAACCAACAAAAAACTCAGATAAGATGTAAGCTAAGGTAGGTGTGGGACAGCAGTCACCTAACTGTAGTAAGGTTCACTTCAAAACAGGCCAGAACCAGCGGACAGAATTCCCCTCTGGATTGTTGGATAAAGCTATTTCCTCTGGAGCAGTAACCCGAGCATCTGTAGCTGACTAACAGAAGTGGATTAACACTGATTAGGGGGCACTCAGGGTAGATGCCTTCCCAAGGGGACAAACCAAGAAATAGCCATATAGCGCAAGATACGCAACAATATAACAGGCTTGAATGGAGGAAGGACAAAACATTTTTGTTGCGGTATGGCTGTCACTACAATCCTTTGTGTACAGGCCCTGTTAAAAGCACAATTTTGAGTTTCTTTTCTTTATTAGTATTTCCATTTTCTGAAATATTGTACTTTTTACTCCACTATATCGATTTGACAGCTGCAGCTACAAATTAAGATTTAATTTAGAAAACACATAATGAAATTTATACACCATACATTATTGTTAAAACCAGTGGTTATTTTTGGGGCGGCGGATCAAGTCCAGCACGAACCAATACCGAACCCCCGGAGCAAGGCCCTGAATCCCGAACTGCTTTCCGGGCGCCGGCCTACTTAGGAGGGGTTAAATGCAGAAAACAAATGTCCCCTTACCCTTCCATTGAAGGGGCGGAAGTAGCTCAGTAAGGACTTGGCTGAAAACCGTAGGGTCGCTGGTTGGAGTCCGGCTCGAACCAGAGATATGGATTGTGGACTGGTAGCTGAACAGGTGCCAGTTCAACTCCTGGGCACTACCGAAGGTGGCCTTAAGCAAGGCCAAGCCCAACTGCTCAGGGCACTGCTCTGTGTGTATAATATTAACATTAATAGAGTGAAAATTTTATTTTTCAGCTGCAGAAAAGATACTACGATTAATTAAGTATGTCTTCTTTTTCCTCTTCTTTTCAGATTATGACCTCTAATAAAAAGCAGTGTCTAGTAGGGCTCCTTTGACATATGTGAGATGTCTGAGTTGTTAGTAGTGGCCTCATTTCAATAGCTGTTTGAGGTCAAAAGACCAATATATATATATATATATATATATATATATATATATATATATATATATATAACCAAACAACATAGATTAGAGAATAGTCCAAAATACAAAAATAGATTTGTACAGAAAAACCTTTTCTTCTGTCCTCACCCATTAATCTACTCACAACCCCTCAGATTTATCTTGTAACCCTTAAGAGGGACCAAAACCCTAGATTGGGTACCCCTGAACTGAACTACCAAACAGTATACCGTTGTTGAAACTATCTCAAACAGCTGCAACAGAAAATAGCTGCTTACACATTGATGCATCTGTGTAAACTGTCTAATAATTAGTATAATAATATATAAGTGGGAATTTGAATGCAGGACATTTATTTTTGAGTATTTTTTCACTACCTACCTGCCTGATGGATTGACTGAAACCGTGTGCAGAAGATTAACAGATTAAACGATTAAAGA